CAGGATTACAGTACTGTTGTATTTGTTGTATGTGATGTGAGTGGCATTAATCTGTAGCACAGAAACATCCCGCAGCCCCTGAACACAGCAACAGCTTTAACAGCAGATTCTCAGCATCTGAGTAAAGAGCCTACAAGGTTGTGTTTGAAGTTAGAAACAAAATATAAAAAGAAATCCATATTTAAAAGCAGAAGTGGAAAACGACACAGAGCCCGTCTGCCTGTTCTGAATTACAACCCCACACCTTCACCAGCATGAAGGAGGCTCTTTGACTTCCTCACAATGTCAGCAACTGATTTTGTGATTCAACATCAAGCCGTAACGTGAACCTTCTCTGTGGCTCTTTTCCTCCTGTTTGGCAGCTCAATCTTCAACATCCTTTGTCCAATATATAAACCATCCCTCCCTCGCACATCTTTGCTGCTCAACCTGAGCTGTTCCTCTGATGTACTCATTCCTAATGCTGTCCATCCAGCTCTTTGGAAAATCTTCACCGTAGCCACCTCCAGCTCAGTTTCCTGTCTTTTTAAAGTGCCACTGTCTCCAAACCAAGCAACAAAGCACATCTAGCTGTTATAATCTATTTAACTTCATTTATATAGTGCCAAATCACAATAACATTTACCCTGAGATGCTTTATATTGCAGGGTAAAGACCCTATAATGATACAGAGGTAATCCCAACAATCAAAGATCGCCCTATGAACAAGCACTGTGTGTCACTGTGGAAAGAAAAACAAGAGCGCGTCTGTGGAAACAAGAAAAACACCCTTTCAGCTAGATTGCTTGTCTTTATTTGTAAGTAACATACAAAAAAAACCTGGTCCTTTAGAATAATCAACAGTACACCGTTTTGTTATTTACCAGATACTTGCACTAAAATGCTGTAAAAGGCACCATCACCACAAGAATAGTCAAGAGATGAGGCCATGGCCCTGTGATGCAAACTACGCCTTGATAAAGTTTTGATATTGGGCTCTATTCCAGTTCTAAGGCTAGAAACGTGTTTATTTTTGCTGCAAAGTTGGGGATTTTAAATTGGGAGTCTATGGGGACTGACTCGCTTTTGGACCAGCCTCAAGCTTCAAGTGGCCATTAGAGTAAATGCACTTAAGCTCTGGCTTCATTTTTCAGTCCAGGAAGTTTCCGCTTGATGAGGCAACAATTCGATCATCTTTCCCACGTTTTTCATGCTTTTCTTCTCTGTGCTTTAGTATTTACATGAGAACGGTGTTGTGCATCGTGACCTTAAACCAGAGAACCTGCTGTACGCCGACCTGTCTCTGGATGCTCCGCTGAAGATAGGTAACAAACTCTCTACATACCCTCCAAATCTGAATACAACAGCATGAAATGACAAGTTTATCATGTTCCAACACAAGTTGTGGAAAATATTTTTCTGTTATTATCGACCACGCTGTCTGTTATCATCAGTGGTGAAACAGTGCAGTTTGGAAATGCTGAGAATGACTGTGATGAGACATCGATGATCTAAAACACATGAAAGTAAAACAAAACTCGTTTCCTGGCTCATAACAACAGGAAATTATTACTTTGTTTACTTCAATTTTAAACACCGTCTGCATTTGCAAATAACATGTCAGTAACTGCCCTAAAGACTGTTTTCAAATCTGCTCCTATCACCTCAATTATGTCAGCTCCTATTGTGCTTATACTGTATGTAAAATAAAAATCAGCATTCTTAAAATAACCACAAACCGTGGTCGTCTTGTGGCCCTGAAAATATGCATGAACACTGGAGTTTGCTGTGAGAGCCCAAACATTTGCATACAGATTTAGCATCAGTCTTAAACTGAGGTTTTGCATACAGCTCAACCTTCAGTGTCTTTGGCTGCATTTGAGGCATTAAACTTGTGACTGCATCATATTTCGAGCTCGTTTAGTCCGAGAGGTAAAAACTCACAGAAACATATTGTTGGCTCAGAATTTGGTTCATTTTTGGAGGAGCTCCTGCGTCCAGATGGCCAGCGAGCCCTCGGCTAACAGATACAGATGGAAGCCTCCGTTCCTTTCGAGTGAAACTCTTCTCCACCAACACCTTCCTTTAGTTCAGAGACTTGCCTGCAGAAAAACACATTTTCCTCCACCTCCACTGCTTCACCCCCTCATTTCTCTTAATATAGAAACAGGAAACTGAACAAAACAAATGCATTACAAGGTTTTTATCTCGCTTCAGTCTGAATGAAAGAAAATATTCTCTTCTTTTACAGCTGACTTTGGTCTTTCAAAAATCGTAGATGACCAGGTGACCATGAAGACAGTCTGCGGTACTCCGGGGTATTGCGGTGAGTACAAAACTTGGTGTAGCGTAGCTATGAATACCACATTCACTTAAGCTCACTGTATTCTTATCTATATGGCCTCCAATCACACAACATTAGTCATCTCAAAGTCCTTTGTACTGTAGGTTGAAAGCCTACAGCACAAAATAGTCAAACGATCCGATATAAACAGCACTTGGCAATCAGAGAGAGAAAAATTTGCCTTTTAATAGGAAGAAACTTCCAGCAGAAAAAGGCTCAGGGTGGGGCTGCCATCTGCTGCGACCAGCCCGGGCTCAGAGCAAACAGTCGATGGCAAAAATAAGACTCAGCTCACAGAAACAACAAACAGGACAACACAAACTACTGCAAAGAAGCATAAACGAGTGAATGAGAGAAGAGTGATGGAGAAGTGCTACGAGTGTCATGTGAAAATTCTCAATTTTCACTGTGATCCTTCTAATCAGCTGAAGGCTGAAGGACGACCAGATAATGAGAAGTTACAACGTTAAAATTATTTTTCAGCATTGCTCTGAGCAGGATGCTTCTATTTTTGACAATGTTGTCAGTTAATTAGTACATCCTCAAAAACGACTGCAGTGTTGCTCACGGTAGTACTGGACATGTAACACCATCCAGAGAGGATTTCTGTTTAAACCCCAGATTTTTAGGACCAAACGCAGAATGACTGGATGGTGTCTCTCCCACAGCAGCACATCGTGTTTGAGGAAGACTCAAACACTCCAGCATAGTGTGGGACCTTTAATCTCAGTGATACGACATGGCACAGCAGCAGGACTTGGTGGTGTAGTAACAGCCAATGAGCAGCACTTTGAGGTGTGGGGAAAGTTAAAGTGGTGACGATATGGCAGCTGACGCTCTGGATGGTGTCTGTAGATGTTGCTGTAGTAGGTGTAGTATCAGTAGTAGATGTGTTTATTCACCTGCGTTGCAGTGATATATGCGAGTGGGCAGTAAGGCGTTCCCTGTGGCGTGTTCTCTGTGGGATTTCAAAAACTCTCTGTTAGAGCTTCTGTCAGCCATCTGCTGTCTAACAGACTCCTCTGCTTGCAGCTCCAGAGATCCTGCGGGGAAATGCCTACGGCCCTGAGGTGGACATGTGGTCGGTGGGCGTGATCCTCTACATCCTGTGAGTCCATTAACACCTTGCTGCCAGTCCAAGCGCACACTCACACATATATACTAAAATATTCATCGCTGACTCACTCTCATCAGTATATAAGTTTTATGGTCCATCTGATTCATGACAGCCATTTAACACAATGACATAATGTGCAAGTCTGCATCCTGTTTATCTGCTTTCCTCAGACAGCAATTAAGCTTTTAATGCTGCCTTCAAATGGATCTGAGAGCGACACACTGCTGTGGGTTCTCATCTAGAAGGGATGTGGCAAAATAAGCGTCCTTTCCTAGACTCTTTCCTTTGGTTTGTTTCCCCAGACTCTGTGGGTTTGAGCCCTTCTTCGACCCAAGAGGGGATCAGTACATGTATAGTCGCATCCTCAACTGTGACTATGAGTTTGTTTCTCCGTGGTGGGACGAGGTCTCCCTCAATGCTAAGGATCTGGTGAGTTACACCAATGATTTGACATTATTATTTATGTTAAATGTGAAGAAGTGCAGGACCTCACACTTTATTTTAAAGCTCTCAGACATGTTTTAAACTCTCGCTGCCCAGGACAGCGTAGTAGAAACTTAAGCTGACCTGAAAGACTTTATACTGGGCATTGACTGGGATTGGTGACATCACTGGGACTTCACACTTTATATTAACTTGTCTGGAATCACTTTGGACTTGGATGTATATTTGTGATGCTGTTTTTGGACGGCTTGGTACGTGTTGGATCTTTGGTTGGTGTCGACTAACACGACTAAGGCTTATGCTAAACTAAAACTAGACTTGACTTGAGTGGAGACTTGTTTGAAATGATATTGAGATTTATGGAATGACTTGACACACTAAATTGTCTTGGCCTTTACCTCTGGATGACTAAAGATCCATTTCTTGGTGTGATTTGAATTCAGAATGAAGTGAATGACTTGATAATTCATATGAGCCTGATTCTACATCTTGAATCTTAACATTTATTCGTAGATTGGACTTGGACTTGTTTGAAGGCCCTGGTTTGTCCTGTCTGATTTGTCCGCAGGTCAGTAAGCTGATTGTCCTCGACCCTCACAAGCGCCTCAGTGTCCGGGAGGCCCTGCAGCACCCCTGGGTGCTGGGCAAAGCTGCCCGGTTCTCTCATATGGATACTACCCAGAGGAAACTACAGGAGTTCAACGCTCGACGCAAACTTAAGGCTGGTCCTTTGTCATAGTTTCATTTCACAGTGATTGGTTTTGTGGGCATCAAAGGTCATAGAAGACTTTTCTGTCATTTTAAGATTTGAGTTGACATTTTGGGAGATAAACTAGGGAATGACTCTTGTACATAAAGCCCAAAATGAAATCTGCTCAGAGCATCTGCACCTGTATACTATGTGGCCTAAACTTTTATATACACACACACATAGATTAGTTAAGCTGCAGGTGAAACTTCACCGGGGCTCCAGATTCCACCCACCAAGAGTTGGCTTTCAGATGATTCAAACTTCATGAATGAGGTCAGTAAAGATCTTAGTAAAGCTGGCTCTGGTGAGCCTGGGTGCAGCATAAAAATGTAAATTCAACAATCACAGGATTTACATTCGAGCGGGCAGTTGGTAACAAAATCACATTTTTTCTACATGGCATTTTGAATTTATTGAAATTACAGGACAGGGTAATAGAGAAACATATTTAACAGGGAAGAGGAAGCTGAAAGCAAATATCAACTCAACATAGTTGACTGCTTTAAAGACTTTTAAAAGATCCTGAATGCTCACTCACTGTTCTGTGTGCTGACAGGCGGCCATGAAAGCTGTCGTGGCCACAAGTCGGATGCATGAAGGTTCGCGGCGTCGCACAGACAGCTGTGACATTCCAGGTTCAGGGGCTTCCAGGCAGAGCAGCATGCAGCAGGACCCGCCTCCTGAGTCTGCATGCTCCACCCAAAAAGACAAAGAGGCTCCACCTCCTGACCAGCAGTTGCCACAGGAAGTTGAATCGAAGTCTGCTGACCCAAACGCCCTCAGCCCCTCTCCTCCACACAGCCCCAAACTACCCAGCTCTGATGTCACACCCGCAGGGCCCATCCCCACCAGACCGCCACTGCGCGCTGATGGGCTGCGACAAGTATCTGTAATCCCTAAAAGCATGCTGGTCCAACCCCGGCTGCCGCAGAAAAGCTGCTCTGTCATAGAGCCAACCCCCAGAGTTGGGGCCACACCCACACTGGGCTCACCCCCGAGTCCCAACAACCTCAGCAATGGCTTCACATCTGGGGCGGAGCCTACCAGTAAGACCACCCACTGCCAGTGATCACATGGCAAAATTTAAAAAATTCTCGACTCTGCTTCAGTTTCACACAGAAGTAAAAAACGTTCAGCTTTCAGCAGCTAAATGAACTCATTTGGACCAAATTACAGTAAACCTAAAATCTGCAGCTCACATTTAACCCGCATCACCACACGTCTGGGATCTCTTTGGCTTACATGCTAACAGATACGGATTCATGGAGGGGTCGCTGGACATTTCTGAAGATGGGCAGGTGTTTTAGCTTCTGTTTTTTAGTATAAAGGCCTTCGATTATTTAGGAGAAGTAAAAATAATTTCCCCCATCAGCACTCGTTTATGTGAGGGTTGACTAAAAACACAAGAAATGTAATAAATGCGAATTGTCTGTTAAGCACTTCAGTCTCAGCAGCACTGTCGAGCTTGTTTGCTCATTTTCACTGAGACAGTGGACGTGTTAAGCTAAGTCAGTGACAAATAACCAGCATGCTGGGGAGCAGTTATCAAGGCCGTGCACATTTGGACCTGAGGGTGTGTTAGCATTTAGCTCACCCACTACAGCACTTCATCAAGTAGCTCTGAATTATTCAGCACATCAGCAAGACTCAATATATTTTTGCAAAGACTCAACATATTTGGAAGAAATTCGAATAATAAAATAACTCGTAAGAGCTACAATTTATTTGTCTTACCACAGAAATGAACCAGTGACGTGTGTGTTTACAACCAAAATGAAGCACTCGATCAGTGACACTGGACGATGGCGCCTGTTATCACACCTTCTTACTTACAACCGGTATCAAAAGGGAGCTATTGTTTTTGAAGTTCTTATTTTTTGTTATTTTCTGTAATAGGTTACAGTTTGAGCTGTTAATATTAAACATGGCTAACATTTCAAATAAAAAGGTGAACGTATGTAAAAGTTATCCATATATGCAAAAAACTCAGAACTTAAAACTGTTTTCTGCTGTTTTTTGTATTTCTTTTTAAATGTATTATTTTTTAATGTTCAAAATCTTTATGTTTTCATCTGCTACAGGCAGTATATGCTTACCTAGTGTCAGGCTTACAGAAGTTAGCAGATTTGAAGAAAGTGTTTTTTGGGTGGGGGTGTGGGGGACGGATGAATAGCTCATTTCTGACAGGATGAATTGAGGAGTATTTTTAACTCTGCTAACTCTGCACTTACTATCTCAGTTGTAGAGATTTGGGGAAACTTCAGAATAAATAGGCCACTGTGGCTTTCAAAGTAAACTTTAATGGAGCACACATTAGAAAAGTAAAAACTAACACCCAGAAAGTTTCTGGATTACTGCAACTAAATGCAGTTATTGACTGAGCAGTTTATTAATACAGAGTTTTTAATAACCCAGATTCACCAACAAAATCTGCATCTAACATCAAAGAGGTTAATCGCCGGAGAAATAAACGACAGGTTTTCTTCAGGGAGGAAAAAAGTGCTTCATTTTTGCTACAAACATTTATTTTGGTCTTTGCAGACTCCCACATTAAAGGGACATTACAACATTTTGCACCAAACACTTTTGCTAAATTTGACTATGACTCACATGTCCTACAGTTAGCTTAGCATAGCATAATACTGGCAATAAAGAAGCAGCTAGCTTTAAGTCCACTTTCCACCACCTTCAGACTTAACAGCCCAGATCTCGTAAACAGACTTGGACTGCTATCATGTGGGCTTGATGAATGTATCCGGTACCTGAGGAATTAGGATCAAATTTTGACTCTGTTTCTTTTCTTTAGCTTTTCTGTGGTAACATTTGGGTGAGATCTGGCAAAGAGCTGACTGTTTGTGGGCCCAGATTGTGATTGTGCCTGCTGTGATTTAGATTTGCACCACAGCTTGGGTTTAACAAAATCAAGTTCAAGTCCAACATTCAGATAATGTATGGATTCCCTAACTGAGTGGCACCGCAGGCCGACCTTTACTGCAGCTAAACATTTAACAATCTAATTGAAAAGAAAAGGAATTCGTTCAATTTCCACAAAGAGGCAATAATCAATTATTTCTATCCTATCCCAGGTTTAATGTTCATGCTTTCTGTCTGTTGGCAGGTGTAGGTGGAATTTCCTCCATACTTAACACAAAAACATGAAACTGAAATCCATGCTGATCTTTTCCTTTAAGTCCTGATCTGGGACAAACTGAGACTTGAGTATTATGTTTGGGCTTCTTCTTCTTCTCCTGACGCAGAAAGCGGACTTTTCCTGTGATGCTCAGGACAGAGACTGATTGTATTTTATTAAACGTACACAATGACTTGGCGCTCACCTGCATGAACGGATGCTCTTTATTCATGGACAAGGAGAGAGAGCGCAGCTTCATTTCTCGGCTTTTTCTTCTTCTTCTGCATCCCTTTTTTTAGCATGCGCGCTCAGACGCTTCAGACTTTCATGTTGCTGTAAAACTCTGAGTTTTTTAATCCTTTTTACTATTTACCGCCGACACCCGCTGCCGTGATTACGCAGCTGTATGAGTAAATAGAGTTCCTCCAGTGTGTAGCGTTCAGGTAAGTAACTCGTGTTTGTGATCTTCTCGTAAAACGTTGTGTTGTTTACACTTTATCAGCAGTGACGATGCGATCTTATTTGCACTGTACATACTGTAGTTTGGTTTTAGACAAGTTATTACTAACATCTACTGCTCGACTCGCTAAGAAACATGTTCAGTGTTTAAGCTCCCAAATATACCAAATTTGACCTTCGTGGAAAATAAACCCCTTTCATCCGATCTAAAACCACACGTTCTACCTCTCTTTGTACAGGGGCTTCCAAAATGAAATGAAAAGATGCAGATCTGGAAAGAAAATGAGATGAGACAAGAAAGATCCAATTTACATTTACACTTAAAGTTATGGTGGCCAAGACAGAACCAACAGAAAGTCTGAGAAAACACAAGCAAGCACTTTAAGCCAGCCAACAGTGTATGCTACCTAGCAGGAAACATTATACTGTTTGCTGGTTCCACAGTAGTTAATCGCTGTGAGGTTTTGGAGTTTGTTTGAGGAGTTTGTAAGAACACTACATTGGCTACCGAGCGGTTTCTCAAACATTTTGTTTGATGTGTCCAATGTCCACTCACGACACCACAGCTCATTAGTCAACAAGTCCTGAATTTATCACGAGCCAGTGCAGGAAATTCCTCTTAACTGACCGCACATATGCTCACACAGAGCAATTCATTTGTTTGCTTAATCACTGAGTGAGGCTGGTCAGGAGGCTCGCGATGAACTGGCTGCTTCAGATGTTGTTTATCAGCATCTGATAGCAAGGCCACGATCTCCGAAAAATCACGGAGAGCCTTGCCAAGATGCCTCTTACTTCATTGTTTTCTGCATTCGTTCCTTGTCTCACTGCAGGCAAGCAGTTTTCTTGTACTGCATATGAAGAATGGACACGACGTTGGTTTTTTGAATAGATGAGAGGGTGGATAGCTCATGTATCAGCTGACACTAGCAAGCTTGGTTCGTAAGCTGCATCCATTAGCGTAAGGTGAATGATGCAGTATTCTCTCACTGTGCTTCTGAAAGTGAAAGAAGGATGCTCAACTGCATCTGAATGACATCATCTACAGTTGAATCTGCCTCCAGTTGTTTCTCAGCAGAGAGCTCAGTCCACAGTGAACCGCTTCACATAAAACCAGTCCAGTCTCTACTTTATCGAGACGTTTTCACTTTGCAAACAGCAAACCTGCATCACAGCATCATGTCTGGAAGATAACTAAAGCTAATATCTCACAGCTTTGATTCTCAGCGGTTAAATCACCCACACAGACGCCCTGCTGATTTTAGGATCGAATCTTTTATTTGAAAAGAAGCTAATTATGTCTGCAGCACACCAGGCTGGATGAACGTCATTATATATCAAATTTGTAAATCATATTAATATGTTGAAGCAATGCATATATCTGGTATGTGATTTAGCTATCTTTTGATTCTTTTGACTCAATTCTTTTCAGAACTGAGTTAAAAGAATCTCATTTTAAAGCACTTTAAGAAGAAACGTGAAGAGATGCAGTAAAGTCTCATTAAGCAGTAAACTGTGGTGTTTACAGCTGCCTAAAGGTCTCTGCTTTGTGTTCTGTCTCAGCCACCATACAGATTATGAAGAGGAGCACATTTGTTCCTGAAGGGCTTTTCTTTTTTTAAAGAGGAACCACAGCTGTAACCAACACTGCTCCCACAATTGATGAAAACTGATGAATAGGTGGACATGCTGATCACAAGCTTACCATCTCATAAATTCAACAGTCTGTCTAATCGCTGTCCCATATTTTATTTAGATAAAAAATGTATTTGCATTTATGCATCAAATCATTCTCTTCAATTCAGACCACTCACCCGGGTTTTCACATGGTTACATGGGAAGTAATGAATCATTAAAAAGGAAATATCAAACCTGCAGTTTCAGACTGTCAGTCACAAAACATATATTTTGGATTTGAATTTCAGTTTGTGATTTGGTTCCTCTTTAAACCATCCAGTTAAAGCACGAGTTTTCCGTTGGACAGATGTGTCACAGCTGGATGCCACGTTTACCTGAGCACAGGTGTTTAAAGCTTCTTGCCAGACGGAACACACTGGATAACTAGCAGTCGCGGTGAACGCATGTAACTGTATATTTGATTTATATCTATACGCTTCTGTAAGAACATGAACATTTTGCTTCTATTTATCTAGCCTGTTAGAGATTTGCAGGGTGGGGTTGAAGTGGGTGGGGCTACAACTGTAAATGGTATTTGTTTTGTGTTTGATGAGTATAATTGTACCTTTTTTTAAAGATTCTGACAGCTGACATATAAAGTGACAGTGTAACAGTCTGAGCTGTTACACGTGTATCTTTGCATGTATTATTTAACTTCCTTTGATCACATCAGATTGAAGAAGCAAGCAGGGAGTTTGAATCCTGCAGGACTCTGTAACAGCTGCTCAGCTGATCTGAGGTCTGTTTGAATGAACTTTTGCTGCAGGATGTTTCAGGCAGGGTTTTGCATCACATGTACAGTAAAGGATATGAATCACTCATTGCTTCTGGTCTTCTTTCCACACCTTTGCTGTCAGCCAAAGACGTTTGGAGGACAGACGGATGCAGTGTTGACGGTATTCTGGTATTTTCTGGTATTTCTTTTGGGGACAAATGAGTGTGCTCATCATACACACGTTTTGTTCGTCATACTCTTTCTAATTTTAAATAAAATAGAGAATTCTAGTGTGAAAATGCTATCATGGCGTCTAAATTCAAGTGTCGCTTTCAATGTAATCAGACAGAAAATAGAATTCCTTGGAAAGATTTAGAATCAGAAAGAGGAAAGAGGAGGCTGGAATGGGTTAAGTTCAGGATATTACACAGAGTCAGTGCAACCTGATCGTAAATCAATTATGTAAAAAAATAACATATAAATATAAAACAAATATAAATGCTATGTACTTACATGGTTTATTTTTGACTTCTGTTGCCATGATGACAGATCTCTCTTGAAAATAAGATTTCTAATCTCAATGAGATTTTTACCTGGATAAATAAAAGACTAATAAAAAATGTAATTTGTGTTAACCCACTGAGCATTATCTGTTGGTTAGAGAAAAATCTACATGCATTTCAATTCAGAAATGCAAACATGCCTTTGAGTATATCCACGTTTATACTCTGTCAGTGAACTTTCCTGACCAGGTTCTGTTGTTTGACCTGACCAGTGTGTTGACCAGTTAGCTCACGGGCTTCGGGGTGAAAGGTCAAAGGTTTCGTTTCGAGAGTTTCTGTTCACTTTTCTTCAGATTTATAGAAAGATAATATAAAACAATTCTTGCATTCACATTTCCAACAATGATTAGGACAAAATGCATCAGAGAGCACGGTGACGTTTTCAACATCACAGAATCGATTGCTTTGATTTTTTGTTACAACTTTTTAGTACAGACTACATGTGAAGTCATCCAGTGTTAAAATGTACAGTTTCCCATGCTAGGGGCACACTGAGGACTTGGTAAGCAAGCAGAGAATGCAAGTGGAAGTCGTGCCCTTTCTCCTTTGAACCATGAAAACCACAGGGAGAGAGGTGGGGTACAACCTGGACAGGTTAACACAGACAACCATTCACACTCACCCCCATGAGCAATTTAGAGCCAATTAACCTACCCTCACTAATTGCATGGGACCACACAGACACGGGGGAACACGCAAACTCCACACATAAACGTTCTGGCTACACAGTGGAATCAAACTTGAGACCTTCTTGCTGTGATGCAACAACCACTGTTCCATCATGCTGCGGCTAAATAACACACTAAATATGACTATGAAACATGAAATATGTGCTTCAGGTTACCGTGTGTCTTTCTGTATAAAAGCCTGGATTTATTACCGATTAACCCATCCATCCATCCAGTCACTGCCGCACATCCTTTTCAGGGTCACGGGGGGCGCTGGAGCCTATCCCAGCTGTCATAGGGCGAGGGGCGGGGTGCACACTGGACAGGTCGCCAGTCTGTCGCAGGGACACAGAGACAGACAACCATTCGCACTCACATTCACAGCTATGGGCAATTTAGATTTTTCAGTGAACCTTTCCCCACAAAGTGCATGTCTTTGGACGGTGGGAGGAAGCCGGAGTACCCGGCAAGAACCCACGCAAACACGGGGAGAACATGCAAACTCCACACAGAAAGACCCCGGCCTGATGGTGGAATTGAACCCAGGCAACAGTGCTAACCACTGTGCTGCCCATTAATTAAATTCAAACAGATGATATCAGCCTGACCATCATGTCCAGTAAGAATACCAGTTTAAGGTTTCTTTGGATTCATTTAATTATTTGCTGTGATTTCCTCTGTACACCTTCATAGCAGAGAATCTGAGAAACAGCAATTGTAATAATACAATTTTACCATCAGTTTTATTGTTTCATGAATTATTCCTCATAATTATGTTTGTTTGTTTTACCTTACATAAACGTTCCCATCAGAAAAATACTGAGTTTAAGTAATATGAGCTCAAATCGTGATCAAGGACGCCTAAATGTCATTGATCACGAACCTGTGGCCTCCAAGCCGTTACTCAGCCTCTGAGCAGAGTTTCTGTCTGTACATTTTCCCTCCTTGCGTTGTTCCACACCAGTATGAAGATGTGAGCCTCCAGTCTGCCGTTGACACCTCCCTCACTGAGGTGGCGCTGTAGCCCCGCTTTGACTTCTTCCATGGCCGCTCAGGGCGTACTGATGTCAGCACCATATCATTCAGGCCCCACAGGATGTGCTGCTGAGGAGAGGTTAGTCCAGTCAGAAGGCAGACCAGGAGGGGAGCAGATCGTGGATGCTGAGAGAGCCGCACGGACGACAACAACTGAATAGACGGCGTGTTGGAGGAACCTGGAAACAAAGAACATTGTAGTATTTTTTTCCATGTTAACAGAAGAAAATGGCAGAACTGTATGGATGTGTTTAATATTTTAGATGAATTTCCAAACTTCCATTATTAGGTCAAATGCACTGAAACAACAACACAAACATCAGATCCCAGACAGGCGCCTTTGTACTGCTTACTGTGATTTCTACAGTGCCATGAAAAAGTATCTGCCCCCTTCCTGAGTTTTAATGGGTTTTCTTTTTTGCATAGTTACATGTGTCAGACCCTCAAACTTCCCTTATTAGATAAAGTAGGGGAAGTGGTAGCTACTCAACTGAAAAAGTTCAACGTTGTTGTCTGTGGCCCCTCAGGGATTAATGTTAAAACATCTTTTAAGGTCAAAGCTGCATAAATTTTAAGATTATCCAAGTCAAAGCAAAATAGTTTTAAAATGATTATTTCCATCTATGAAGGGGGGGAAAGCGGATGATCTGATATCCGAGTGTCGGTGTTGTTTCCACATCATCATAATAAATGTTGCTCCAGGTTGAACATTGCAAGTGACCAATCACATTGTTGTGATGTCCCCCTTTTGTGCCTTTGAAAAATACCGCCTTAAAAAAAATCAATTTCACTTGCGAGAAGAGAAACCGCTTCTGTCCGCCGATCCAGGAACTTGAATTCTTTGCATTTCAGGATACTTTAATAAACGGTAAGCATTATACATATTGTCCTTACAGAGGCGCTTTCTCTTCTCGCAAGTGAAGTCGATTTTTTTAAGGCGTTTGTTCAGCAGAAGGTGATTGGTCACTTGCAATGTTGAACCTGGAACAACATTATTTATGATGACGAGGGAACAACACCACCACGAGGATATCAGATCGTCCGGAAAAAGCTCTCCTGGACCGCTGTAAATGGGGGGGTTTCCAGTCTCATCTCAAATTTTCCAATAAAAACATCAACATCTGTAAGACTTTTGGGAAAGTGTTCAGTGGACTCTCGAGACAAAAGTCGAACTTTTGGGAAGGTTTGTATTCTGTTATATCTGGGGTAAAACTACCACAGCATTTCATAAAAACAAAATCCTATGAAGACTCAAACGCGGGGGTGATGTCTCGGGGCTGCTTTGTGATGGTCTTGGGCTTTTTTGCTGCCTCAGGGCAATTTTCTTTCCTGGACATAACCGTAAGTTCTGCTCTCTACCAGAAATTCCTGAAGGAGAATCTCTGGTCATCAGTTTGTGAACTGAAGCTCACGCAGACTTGGATCCAAAGCCAGATCCAAAACACACCGCAAAGTCCAACCTCTGAATCTGTGGCTCCAAAGAGAACCAAAATGAAGTTTTGAAGTGGCCAAAATCTGGACGTAAATCAGACTGAGATGTTTTGAAGTGACCTTAAACAGGCTGTGCATGCTGGAAAAACAAAGAAACAAAGACGATCTTTCATCTTGTTTTATGTTTCCATGTTTTTGTTAGTTTCTAAAGAGAAGCTCTCAAAATCCAAACAGAATACGAACACAGTACTGACCGTGGTGCAGTTTGTCTAGTGGAGCTGTACCTGTTGACTTGTTTTGATGGTTGAGAAGGTCATCATCAGCATCAAAGTCAGCCACTTCTTCATCAACATGCACCACTAGCTGGGTCCCAGGGCCAAAAACCATCGAAAAAGAGAAAGTCTGTCTGGTGGGAACTGAGCAAACAGTGCAGCAGCTGCAGCAGCAGCAAACCACCATTACTAACAGTGGAACAAACGTGAGTGTTAAAGGAACAGTTCACTATTCTGTGCAGCATCTTACCTTATGAGGATGATGAAAGTCACTGCAGTTTCCATGACGATTCCACTAAAGATTTAGCTGAAGAGAGAAAAATCCTGGTAAACAAAGATTAAAGTAAAAAGCCTACACCACTCATAATGCTGTTGAATAATACCTATGCATCTTTCAGATTAAAGTCTGGTACTCCAAGAACATTTCTAAATCATATCGTTTTCCTTAAATACTGATATTAATTTCTCAGCTGCCTCGACCTTAGATATTTACCTTTGATAAGTGTGTCCCCGTGGTTCCTGCTGTCACTCTGATGCCCACAGATCTCCTGTGTCGTATCATCTCTCATCAGTGAAATCAGGAAACTTCAGGGTCTGGAAAATAGAAACATGAGAAACTGCTGGAGCAGAACAACAACAGTCTCCAGAGGAGACAAACTGCTCTTGGATCACATCGACCGTTGGTTTAGTCAGTTGGTGAAGGACAGAAAAACAGGAAATTTTCAGTTTTTTCTTAATTCAACTGTTGGACCCCAAATAAGATCTCAGTGAAAGCGTCAGTTTGCATGTTCACAAACACTGTTTTTATGATTCATTAGCTGAACATTTCCCATAAAGATACACGGTAACACAACATATAATATAATATAATATAA